CACACACACACACACACACACACACACACACACACACACACACTGCCTTCCTCTCTAACTGACGTCACAGGTCGGCTAAAGCACGGCTTGGTCATAAATCACCTCTAGATGTAGCTTTGTCCTATTAGAGCAAGGAGAAAAATCTAATTATGCTTGATCAAGAAGAACACTCTGCAGAGACAGAGAGGGGAGGTAATAAAAGGAAGGACAGGGTGAGACGGAAAGCTAAGGAGGGTATTAAACATGAGGGGAGAGAAACCAGGAAGGAGATGATTCTGCAGGTTTAAAACTAGGGACAAAGTGAAAATGATGCACGTAGAGCTGAGGGAACGAGACAGTTCCTCGGTGAGCATCCCCTAAATGACATAAGATCTACACAGCTAAGACCTCTGAAACAGAAAATGGTTCAGTAGCTTTTGGTTTTGAGGAAAATCAATAAAAGGGAGACTTAATTCATGTGTGTTAATTTTTTTCTCACAAATCATTTTGCACAGTTGCAGATGTGGTCTAAACATGGATGTGTGTATGTTTTATGTATCATGTCAGATATGAAGATATACCAGTCCAGAACATCAAAATGATGGCAGCTGTTCAAATTACTGTTAGGATGGGGACACTTTGGAATGTGCCCCAGACTTATCATTAGATTTTTTTAAAGATGTTACTTCTATAAGATTCTGTAACAAACGAGGATTTTAATAAATAAGGACATTTTTAAATTTATGACTGCTCAGTGGCCTGGGGTAGGGTGACAGTTTTGGAACTTCACAGGAAACTTATAAAATTGTGTAAAGTGTATCACAAACTGCTGAACTCAATCCTAAAGTTTCACAAGTTGTGGCTTTTTAAACATCCACCCAATAGAATACTTTTTTCATTTTAGGGTCACAGGGGTCACTGGTGCCCATTTGCAAATATCCAGCTTTCACAGTGTGAGGGGCAGGGTAATGGTAATTGTCTGAACTTATAGAGCGCTTTATCAAGACCCTCCGGACCCCGGAGCGCTTTACACTTACAGTCATTCACCTATTCACACTCATGCACACATTGATGATGGCAAACTACATTGTAGCCACAGCTGCCCAGGGGCACACTGACAGAGGTGGGGCTGCCATGCACCGGTGCCACTGAACCCTCATCAGTCATCAACAGTAGGCAAGGCAGGTGAAGCGTCTCACCCAAGGACACAACTGCTGGATGGGGAATCGAACCAGCGACCTTCCAGTTCCAGGACGAATCCCCTAATCGCTCTACCACAGCCGCCCCAAGGGTCAAGTCCATCACAGAGACACATAGAGACAAACAACCATTCACACTATTACTTTTACTAAGAGATAATTTAGAGTTACCAATTAGCTGCACGTTTTTAGTCTGTGGTAGGAAACCAGAGTACCGGAGAAAACCCATGCATGCATGGAGAGAACATGCAAACTCTACCCAGAAAGGTCCCTGGCTGAGATTCGATCCAGCAACCTTCTGAGATTTTAAAWTTTAATTTATCATCTTGTCTTCTGAAGATGCTCTGTGTTAAAGGATCAGTGGATCTGTGTTCGACTACACCACCTAGGCTGCATTCTTGAGTGCAGATCCACTGAGAAACTTGCTGTTTCAGCAACATTTAATTTAAAAACTGTATTTTGAGGTCAAACAAATGGTCATAATTAATTTAAATAAATTACACGTTAAAAGGGGCATGGAAATTTCTCTTTTTTGTGTTGAAAAAATATCGAACCGTGAGACTAAAGGATCGAACCGAATCGTGAATTTTCTGTATCGTTGCGC